AAATAAAGAAAACAATCTTTTATGTAGTGCCTCTGAAGCTAAAAATCACGAGGTGCTTCACAAAACAAATTTAAAAGATTTCAAAACATTTAAAATATGTTTAAAATGAGAAAACTGTTAGGTCCCTGTATGACCGGTGTCAGAGCTTAGTCCGCATCGTCGGCAGTAAGTCGGGCTCGTTCCCAGTGAGAGTTGGACTCCGCCAAGGCTGCCCTTTGTCACGATTCTGTTCATAACCTTTATGGACAGGATTTCTAGGCGGAGCCAAGGTGTGGAGGACATCCGTTTTGGTGGCCTGAGGATCAGGTCTCTGCTTTTGCAGATGATGTGGTCCTGTTGGCTTCATCAGAACGTGATCTTCAGCTTTCGCTGGAGCGGTTCGCAGCCGAGTGTGAAGCAGCTGGGATGAGAATCAGCTCCTCTAAATCTGAGACCATGGTCTTGATTCGGAAAAGGGTAGAATGCCTTCTCCGGGTCAGGGATGAGGTCCTGTCCCAAGTGGAGGAGTTTAAGTATCTCGGGGTCTTGTTCACGAGTGAGGGAAAACTGGAGCGTGAGATCGATAGGCGGATTGGTGCTGCGTCTGCAGTGACGCGGGCGTTGTACCGGTCTGTCGTGGTGAAGAGAGTCAGAAGGCGAAGCTCTCGATTTACCGGTGGATCTACGTTCCTACCCTCACCTATGGTCATGAGCTTTGGGTAGTGACCGAAAGAAGGAGATCACGGATACAAGCGGGCAAAATAAGTTTTCTCCGAAGAGTGGCTGGGCTCTCCCTTAGAGATAGGGTGAGAAGCTCGGTCATCCGGGAGGGGCTCGGAGTAGACCCGCTGCTCCTCCACATTGAGAGGAGCCAGTTGAGGTGGCTCGGGCATCTGGTCGGGATGCCTCTCTGGTGAGGTTTTCCCGGCACGTCCAACCGGGAGAAGACCTAAAGGTAGACCCAGGACACGGTGGAGGGACCAACCCTGCTTCTTAAAGGAGACCACTGATCTCAGGCTCAGGGGGAGAGAGTTCCAGAGTCTGGGGGCCACAGCAGCAGATGATCTGTCACCTTTGGTCTTTAGCCTGGTGCTGCACAACCAGTAGGCTTTGGTCACACTAGTGAGATTTATAGGCAAACTTTTTAACAGTTTAGTAAAATGTTCTGAAACATTTTTGTGCTTTTTGGTAGATATAAAAACGTGGCTAAAATCATAAATTTGGATTTTAGACAAAGTAAAGGAAAATATTTTGAATTTTAAATGGGTGGACAAAAGTGAATAAAGTTTTTACAAATAAGTATTTATGGAAAAGCAAAAGGGAGCCTAAGTCGTTCGCTCTTCCTTCTTCCATCTCAGGAACGTTGCTAAGCTGAGTCCCATTCTGTCCCGCTCTGAACTTGAGACAGTTCTCCACACCTTCATCTCCTCACACTTAGACTACTGTAACTCTCTTTTCACATGTCTGAGCAGAACCTCCCTGAACCGTCTACAGGTGGTTCAGAACGCCTGTGCTCGGCTTCTGACCAAGTCCTCCAAACACACCCACATCACCCCGCTTCTCCTCCAGCTTCACTGGCTGCCAGTCAACTTCAGGGTTCATTTCAAGATCCTGGTTCTGGTCTATAGGGCCTTACATGGACAAGCACCATCTTACATTGGTGATCTTCTTAGTCCCTACACCCCCAGCAGGTCCCTGAGGTCCAGTGATCAAAGCCTACTGGTTGTGCAGCGCCAGGCTAAAGGTCAAAGGTGACAGATCATCTGCTGCTGTGACCCCCAGACTCTGGACCTCTCTCCCCCTGAGCCTGAGATCAGTGGACTCAGTGGTCTCCTTTAAAAAGCAGCTGAAGACTCACTTGTTCAAGCTGGCTTTTGTATGACCTTCTTCACCTCTCTCTCTTTATTCTGCTCTCCCCACCTATTCCACCTTCCTCAGGATCCACTGATTTCCCTCTTTCCAGTTCACTCTCTCTCTTTCTTAACATTTTTTAAAATCACAATTGTCTATTTTTGCTCATTTTAAATACATTTTTAAACATTTTCTAAATGCTTTTTTATATTTTTACATTTTTTGTTTTTGTGAAGCGCCTCGTGATTTTTATCTTGAGAGGCGCTTTAGAAATGATATTTTCTTCTTCTTCTAAGTCACGCCCATCTACTTCCGGACCACGGGCCCCCACTAGAACGAAAAAATGAATGCAAGTCAACGGGGCTAAAAACGCTATTTTCTAATTCTGCTTGTTTTGTGCCATGGATTTCACAGATGAAGTCTGTGAATTTAAAGATGCATTTTAATACCAAGAATGTGCTTATTTTCATTAGGGGGGGGGGGGGGGGGGGCACTATTTTAGGTTTTGTGTGAAAATATATCCAGGAGTACAAATGCACATCACGAAAGTGACGTCATCGAACCAGACACGGAGAAAACTGAGAAAATGGCTGTAAGTATAGCGACAGGGTATCTGCAGGTTTAAAGGAGCCAAATTTAAGACTTTTTAAGACCTTTTTTAAGGCCACTTTGACCAAATTTAAGCTATTTTTAAAATTAAATTTAAGCTATAATTCCCAGCTATTGCCTGGAACCGGTGCTAACCACGTCGCAAACGTGGGATTAGCCATCCAGTTACCATTAAACTTGCACGTCCCCATGGCGCAAGCTCCCACTAACTTAACCAGCTTCTGTGCTCATCTAAAAATAGCCCCCTTTCACAACCAGCTGAATGTGTACGGTTCCGCTTACGCCAACATCGTACACAAAAAATGCTGAACACTAACTAGAAATTCACGAAAATTTAATAGAAATAAAATAATTTTGTTTATTGGGTCTTTGGTCATTTAAGACCTTTGGAAACGGGATTTAATGATTATTTGTCATTTTTAAGGATTTTTAAGGCCTTAAATTTGGAAAAGCAAATTTAAGACTTTTTAAGACGTTTTAAGGACCCGCGGCTACCCTGAGCGAACTTCTAACCCTTTCTTCAGGAGGAAACAACCACCATAAATCTGGCCATGAGGTAAGTAGCAACTACGCTAGGGGGGAGAAGAGATTCTGTGGTGACGTCACACATGCGACATGCCACATACGTGTCTGGTGTGTAGTCATGCTAATTACTAACTTTTACAAGCTGATAAGTGGATTAGAAAATAACTTTTAGTCCCATTTACTTGCATTTATTTTGTAGTTTTTCCAGGGACCCATGAGCCGACCGGAAAGGGAGGAGACTTAGGCTCCCTATTAGTAAAACATAAAAACAACACACTCACCGTTGCCAACGAGCGTTGCAATGCCATCAGCCTCCGGCCAAGGAGAAGTCTTGAAGAAACGGTCAGTTAGCTTGTTCCAGCTGATAGGAAATGAGATCAAAATAAAATGATAATCAGGATTCGTGTGGACATAAATGCTCTGGTCCTGCTAAAACCAAATAAAACACACCATCACATTTCCAACACACCTGTTTTCATACACATCCTGGATCTCGTAGATCTTTTGCTCTATGCTCTCGCTGGACACACGGTTGGACTGCAGCTCATAAACTTTCTGGTCGATCAGGTCGGAGACGGTTTTGTGGAAATACTGCAGGAAGTTCTTGATCACCTCTGGGATGACATGGTAGGTCTGCTGCTCATACTGCCTCTCATAGGCCAGGTCTGCTTTTGGGTCACCTGCAAGAAAAGTAAAACTTAACACATTTTTACCTGAAAGGCCCTTAAGGTCTGGACAACAGTTTACTTACTACCAGTGCATGAATTAAAATGCTTAACTTTGGGGAACAAATTGCCATAAGGCACGTTTAAAGGCGTGCATACTTACCGGTGTGCAGATCATAGTCGTTTGAAAAGGAGTATGGATCATACTGGAAACAAATAAAATATGACAAACATTCGTTACTAATACAAAACAACTTGCGCGTCGGTAATGATTAGTAACTATACGTTTCACCCTTAAAACCTTAAAATACAACTATATGACGCTAAATATTGCACACGAAAGTGCTTTTATTCACATCATAACCTGCTTTAACGCACACTCATGGTCAGTTAGCGTTGCACTAGCTTTGAAGCTATCAAGCTAGGTGGGTACCGCGTTTTCAGGAGTCATTATTACAACCTCTAATCATAATAGGGACAAAGGGTGCTAACCTCCTCCTCCTCGTGATACGACATGTTGGTGGTCAAAGCTCGAGAGATAAATTAGAGTAATAGGCTAAACCTGGCCTCTACAAGCTAACGCCGCTAGCTAAACCACGCAGCTAGCGTTGAAAAGACAGGCGAGGGAGACCGGAAGCAAAAAGCTGTGAAGGCAAAAGTGAAGCATTGTGGGAAATTGAGTGACATTTCAACAAACTCGTTAAAAATTTGTTACGAGGATAATAAAACTGATATGTCATAATTTATCTCACAAAACCACATTTATACAGACTATTTGAAGGGATAAATGTTGATTTATGTCTAATTTAGAAAGAGCGACAGAATGCAATGAATTATCTCATCTCCGAGTGTTCTTTGCTTTCTGTGGATATTTGTTGCCCTCTTGTGGTGAATGTTTGACTTTACAAGAAACATGTGCGCTCATAAACAGTCGTTTAATTTAAGCAGTAAGGTAAAAAACCTATTGTTAAAATTATATTGTGTTAGATAAATAAAATTAACTTAAATCTTAATGAGATTATCTGCAAACAAATGGGAAATTAAAAATATAGTTTTAAAAAAGGATATTTAAATACTTGAATGTCCGCAAGAGAACGGAATCTGGACACTCTTGACGCGTGCGCTGTGTTTATTTTTTGACCATCACCCTAAAATCCCCTGAAACAATCCGTTGAGGTTTTAAAGAAGCTGAGTGGCAAAAGATAGTTTGCCTCAGCTACCAGCAGACGGAGTCCTTTAAACGTACCTTTACCTGCCCCCCAGAAAGGCTTGCATCCGATAAGCAATCTAGTCCACTAAATCAAGTGTACAGGAAAGGGGTGTGGAAGAAGGAAAAAAGAGAAAAGACACGAGGGAGTGGGAAAAATCTTGGGTACGGGGGGGTGATTGCACTGCCAGAAATAAAGAGAGTCTACAAAAACGGTTTGGCAGACGACAGCAAGGAAACGAGCCTAAATAAACCAGCAGCTCTTGCTGACCAACTCGGGCTTTTATTTATTTTTATTTACTGGCAATTCTTCTTCTGATTTTTAATAATTTTCACATTAATTTTTTGCGTGAAAGTGAGATTTCTGTAGCGCAGTGGATTTTGGACCGTGCGTAATTTGGAGAGTTTATTGCCACTCCGTGTCCAGGATGCGCGCCTGCCCGCTGATGGTCTTCCTCTGCCTCCTGAGCGCCGGACGCACGCAGAAGTTCTCCGCTTTGACGGTATGAACCCGCATTTGTTAGGATCTTTGTGCTCGGAAAAAAGATAAATACTCTTGTGCGTAAAACACGGTTTATCCACCAGACTTTGTCAGAATGTGTTGACTTTTGCTTTATTTACGCTGAAAGTGAAATAAACTGTCTTTGTTCTTTTAAACCCCGCTTTCTCTCTGCTCCTGTCCTGCATGTGAAGCGTTGCCTGCCTGTGGTTTGCCCTTTTGCGCCGTCACCTCTGCCTCGCTGGTGCAGCCCGCCAGTGCCAGGCTGCACCACAGCACATGGCATTGTTTACATCGGCAGCCGGCCAGCATCATGTCCAATTTCTCATTAAACTGCAAGAGAAATTGCGTTTCGGAAGGAATTTCATGGCCACGATCAAGTTCAGGTGCGGTGCCAGAGAAGGATTAATAGAGAGCGGAATGTGCACCGTCAGAAGTTTTCTCCTTGATTTACTGGTTGATGTGACAGCCTCCTCCCCAGCGACATTATTTATGTGTTGAGATGCCTCGGTGTTCAATTGGAAACAAATGGCCAGGAATTATTAACCTGCAGGTGAAAGGGGTGACGATCTGTTCTCTCTGGCAGCACCATGGAGTTGTGGAATGTGGGAGGAATTGTTTTACTGCTCTTCTGAGCTGATGCACACCGTTACACCAAAACCGCAGACCTGTGTTGTTTATGGTGGTCACGGCGAATGTGGCGCTGATTCCAAATAAATGAAAAGATTACAGCAACATTTATTCTCACGAAGATCCTCATGAAGTGACTTCGTCACCAAATTTATTTCAGAAATTATTCGTCCAGCCTGCCTTAACAGCAACACATCCTTCCAAAATAAAAGCGGAGATCAGAGACCACCCCATCTAGTGCTCAGGTTCCCTTTGACGGCAAGATTAGGAGCTTGATCAACCGTGGATCGTTTGTCTCTGTTCCTGTCTCGGTTCTCCCTGCTCATTGATAAATGATCCGTGGACACACAGTCTAAGGAACCCCGAGGCCTCAGATAGTGGATCTCTTCACCCATGGACGTAATTTTCACTTTAGATGTGGGGGGGATCTTTACAGTATGTTCTAATGGGAAACAGGCTTCAACACAAACGATTCTGCTTGGTCCTAGGGCTCAACCAGTGTCAATTTAATATAAAGTAATATTGCTTTTGGATGGTAAAAAGTGCAGGGGTCAAAACGTGACTTTGGAAAAAGTGGGGGGGACATGTCCCCCCCGTCCCCCCCCTGTCCCCCCCCCAATTACGTCCATGTCTTCACCCTTCTTCGGTTTTCTGGAGTTTATCCATAAAACCGGACGTTCAGCTCAGGACTGCGGCGTCCATGTTTCGGTTTCGGCACAGTTGTTAAATATTTAGATTTAAAATTTTATGTTATGGATTTAGATTTAAATCTTAATTTTTTTCAACTTTACAATTTGAAGCCAACTATCGTAAAATGAAGCAGAAGTACCATCTTGCTCATCGGCGCCCGGTAGCAGGTGTTTGCTAACATGTTCCGTGCTTTTTTCACCTAAGTTGAACTACTCAGATTTTACAACGCATCTTTATTTCGTGTTAAATGACTATCTTGGTTTCCGCTCACACACACAGACCTTGATTTATGAAGTTGTTTGAGTGAGTCGTGACTTTTGAGTGACGTGGAGCAGCCGTAACTGCTTCCATTCAAACGTGTCCTCGTGGTGTTTTGCGCAAATTTGAAGTTAAAGAGCTCGTTAAATTTTTTTCCACGGTTGAAGACGACGGTAGGTTTAAAACCAGCAGACAGTAAATGTTCTCGTGATGAATGGGCTCATGTGCTTTCAGCAGACCGGACCTGCTCAAAGTGACGTTTCCCATCATCGTCCGACCACTGCTTCCTTTGAACATCTTTCGCACCATTTAGACGCTTTTTCTCTTTGACTGAGTCGGCGGGCTAGCGTTTATTCCCTTTCCACCATGCTGGAAACTAATGACCCTTTATGCATCTGAGCATCTGTGCAGGAAACTCCCGCCAAGGCCATTTAACACGTTCTCCACAGCTCTCAGCTGGGGCCCCCGTTGACCCCACAGGGCTGTGGTGTGAGCCCGCCCTCCGGCACTGGAAGCGGGGGCCTCCTAGTCCGCAAGGCCCTTATCAACCTACAATGGGCTCTCTGCTGGAGGCTCGCCTATTCTGTACTCCATTCAATCCCACAATGCCGCAGAGCCAGGGGGAGGTAATGGGATTTGATTTGTATGCTGGTTGGTTCGGAAAGGGGAAAAAAAATTTCCTCACACTCTGCCCGTCTCGCCGTCTTTCACTCATCTCTTGTTCCTTTGCCAACCTCTTGTATTCTCTGAGCAGATGCAAACGTGTTTTCTAAGAGAGATCACACAAAGACATAAACACAAGAAGAAGGAGAAACACTGAAAGGAAAGAGACAGAAACAGAGAGGACCTAGGAGCAGCTGTCTGGAAGTAGGGAAGAAAGGGATTTGGGCAAGAAACAAAAAGGGATCTTAGTCCCAAAATGTGTTCCGTCTTGCATGAGAGTCTCTTTATGATGAACCAGAAGCCTCTGCTGAGTGAGGTGGAGGTCATTCAACATGCTGCCGTGCACGGCGAGGCTGCTGGTTTGGAGCCTGAGACATCAGAGGCGCGTCAGGGCTCTAACCCAGCCTCGGCCGTCCATCACGACCACTCACACACGGATCAGCAGGAAGCTCATTATGAGTCTGTGTGCATGTGAGAGAGAACCATCTTCCTCTGATTTGTTGTCCTCCTTCAGCGCAGCCGTTCGTGCCTCCTGACACCAGACCTCAGATGTCTGATTGTGAAACTGGGTGGCGGATTTTACGGCTCGCTGTGTTTTTCTTGGAGCTTTGTCCCAAACTAGCTGACGCTCGGTGCTCTGCTGTGAGCTGTGCGGTGAACATCGGGCAGGATGCTGAGATGCTCAGTGACTCCGTTTGGGCTGTCAGTCTGCAGGCTGGCAGGGGCCTGGGGGGGGGGGGCAGAGCTGAGTACTGGTGGGTCAGAACCATTCATGGTTGGACACACAGACAGAATCAAGGTTGTTCTTGACTTTGGGAGGCTTTACAAGTAAAGAAGAATCGGATGACTGATTTATTATTTCCACAATTAAAGTCTCAAAAATGAACATTTATCTCAAGATACACTCAATAAAAACTAATTATTGAAAAAAAACACTTATTTCCTTTACTTTGTTCACGTTCTTCAGCTTCAAACTCTAATCTATTAATTATTAAAACCTTTTCTGAAGCATGAAGTATGTGCACACAAGGCATTATGGGTAATGTAATATTTAGCACCATAGCTGGTTACATTTATGATTCTGTTTTAAATCTGAAAATACTTGTAGGCTTTTTTAATTTCATTGTGAAATAATAATTAATTTTCCATATTTTGACATTGATCTCATCAGGGAGGGAATCAGAGTAGAGCTGCTGCGCCTCCACGTGGAGAGGAGCCAGCTGAGGTGGTTTGGGCGTTCGATGAGAAAGCCCCCTGGACGCCTCCCTGGGGAGGTGTTTCAGGCATGTCCTGCTGGCAGGAGGTCCCCAGGTTGGCAGAGGACACGTTGGAGGGATCTCCACGCTGCTCAAGGAACACCTGGGGGGATCTGCTGGTGGAGATTGCCGGGGAAAGGGAGGTTTGGGCGCCTCTGCTGGAGCGGCTACCCCCACGACCCAGACTCAGACGAGCGGGCGAAACTGGCGCACATCAAATCTCCAAATTTGGAAACATTTATATTTTAAGTGGAGGAACATTTCTTCTGGGTGGCCTTATTGTGTCTATATGTATTCTGAAGAGTTTATCAGTGACAGTTGAAATGAGTCATTTCCTGAACAGCCTCTGCTCAGAGAAATAGAGTTTACATCCTTTTGGACTGACGTCTTAAAATAGCTTAAAAATTGAAACTTTTACAGCTCCGTCAGTTGGTTACCGTGCTAAAATATGAAAGTATTCCCGTTTGACCTATGACCCCAGGATGCTTCATAAGTTTGTTTTCAAAATTTTATTTGTGCAAATAACATCAAACTGTAAACACGAGTTTAACGCAAACCTGACAAAAGTGAAGGTTTACAGGAAAATGAGTGGAGAAAAACAATTACTCATCAGCCGTGAGAGATTTAAACCACATTCCTGTGAATTTAGGACACTCGGCGCGTTGGATGGTTGCCATTTATAACTTTTAAACACTTTAAAGTAGTTGAAAAAGCACCATTTCATGTAGGAAGTGTAAACACACTCATATAGTTTTTATTGTAGATTTATCTATTTACAGAACTGTCTTGACACAAAGACGAGTTTTAATTCAAGAGTTAATGCTTACTGTTTGTTCTGCTTAGAATAATAATGAAATATCCACCTTTCAGTTGGTTTCCTGTAAGTTAAACATGAAGTCAATGATGTTTTTGTCAAACACATTTTCACAAAAACCACAAAAAGCAAAGAACTCGTAAGATTTGAAGTTGTGAAGGATGTTCCGTCCGCCTTCCCCCCGTCCCTCATGGCTGCTCCTTCGATGTGTTTGAACGAGCCTTTCCGCGCTGATTTCCCCTCGGGAAGATTTATGAGCAGAGCTGACATAGCAGGCTGTCTATCCCCTCCACTGGCCCTGGGCAACTCTTCCTCTCCAGCCAGCCTTCTTTCAGATGCACACCTCCCAAACGTCATCTCTCACTTCATTTGTAAAATGTCAGACACTACAAATTTTCTTTTATTGGTAATCATTCCGCCCCTTTCCAGGAAGCGTATGAGTGTGACTTGTCATGTCATCTCTCTTGATCAGAAACTTTGAAGTGAAAACTGAACCGTCTGATTTAAGGACAGAACTAGAAGCTAGACTTTAGTAATTGTAACATTTACCATGTTTTGTTACTGTAACTTTTGTTAGGTAACACTTATTTTGTGATGTGTGTTTTGATACTTGTGCTTTGAAACTTTTTCTTTTAACATCTGCAAGTTGCAAAACGAAAATTATACGTTACAAAACATGTTACAAGTTGCAAAACGACAGTTACGTGTTAGAAAATGAAAGTTAGATGTTGCAAAATGAAAATTACCGTAATTTCCGGACTATAGAGCGCACCTCAATATAAGCCGCACCAACAAAAATAAAGGTTTTCTACACACACGCCGCACTCGAATACAAGCCGCGGCGCAGCAGCCACATGCAGGTCTCCGGCGCACAGCGCATGTACGGCCGTTACGTAAGATAGTTAGACAGAAAGACGCTACACGGAGGTTTTTCGTTGTTGTTTTAATTCAACAAAACAAATTTTAAACACGGGTGAACGTGCCTGCAAGTTTAGAAAAGCAAGTGCTGACTCAGCATTAATAAGCCCTGGATTATTAGAAAATAAAAACTGCACACAGAACATGCCTGGTTAGTAAATAAAACACACTTGCCTACCAGAAAAAGTCATTCGCTCTCATCTTCCTCTTGCGCACTAAAGCCATTAAAGTCCTCTTCTTCAGTGTCGGAGTTGAACAGCCTCAGAAGAGCTTCGTCACATACCTTTTCTGTGGCGATGTCCGTGTTGCTGTCATCATCCCCACGTGAAGCTGGCTTGAATGAGTTCTTCCCGCTGCCGTCTCCAGCGCCGAACCATGGATTCATTCATGCCAAGCGTACGTGCGGCAGCACTGTTTCCCTCCTTTACTGCCAGATCGATGGTCTTCAACTTAAATGCGGCATCATATGAACTCACACGTGTAGTTACCATGATGGGGGGGGTATGGACTAGAAAGAAATTCTTCGTGGTGCCGGCTGCTTGCATGTGCTAAATTAAAATGAGCACTTTCTTCAATTTCCACTTTTGACTTCCACCTGTTTCACTTTCTGCTAAAGCGCCCCCTAGTGGCAGGTGAAGGAAAACCTTCAGTAAAGCCGCACCTCATTATGAGCCACGTGGTTCAAAGCGTGAGAAAAAAGTAGCGGCTTATAGTCCGGAAAATACGGTACATGTTACAAAACTAAAGTCATGTGTTACGAAATGAAAAATTACATGTTACAAAACTAAAGTCACGTGTTACGAAATGAAAAATTACATGTTACAAAACTAAAGTCACATGTTACAAAATTAAAGATACGTGGAATAAAATGAAAGAACAAAAATTACATGTTTCAAAACACAATATTGCAAAACATGATGCAAGTTACAAGTCCGGAAGTCCGGATCCCAGTTCCTTGTTTAAAGAAATCTGCATGAACAGAGTAGCAGTTTGCACTGATGGATTCTAGATGTGTGCATCAGACTGAAAACAACATCTGCAACAGCACGAAGCTCAGCGACGACTGGTGTATTATTCAGCCTTCCATTCAGCCTTTTCATTTATTGTGGAAGTCACAGCTTGTTGCCATCCCTGCTTACCGCCATTGTGAGGTCTTCTGAAGGGTTCATACTGCAGGGGGGGGAGACAATGGCGGCATTGACACAGGTGATCCGATGCGTTCAGCCATAAGTCTCTGTCCTTGTTTCTCTTTTCATGGTTGAATGAGACGTCTTTAGGTGCAAGTTCAGGTGAATACCTGTGCAGGTGTTGGTAGGGACAAAGACAAGTGGAACATCCATTGTGTTTGTGTTTGGCTGCAGCCCGTGATGTTTATGGCTTCGGTTACTGACACCGTCTTCTTGCAACTGTTTTGTTTTTTGCCCACATATGGAAAGCAAATAATAAAGGTGGCTAATAAAGTCATCGCTAATGTTTGTGAGCCTGGTAGCAAAACATCTCCTGACCCACTGAACCAACTTTCACGGTGAGAAAGTAACAAATGGGTTTTTATCAATAACTCAAGATGGTCTCCACAACTAATCAACATTAAATGGCCTGCGTTCAAGGACGTAATTTTGGGGGGGGACAGGGGGGACATGCCCCCCCCCCCCACTTTTTTCAAAGTCACGTTTTGACCCCTGCACTTTTTACCATCCAAAACAATATTATGCTATATTAAATTGACACTGATTGAGCTCTAGGACTAAGCGGAAAACAACTGTTTGTGTTGAAGCCTGTTTCCGATTAGAACATACTGTAAAGATACCCCCCCCCTCCCGTGTCCCCCCCATTTCTAAAGTGAAAATTACGTCCATGCCTGCGTTCAAATAGCACTTTCAACGGTTCTACAAGCCCCCCCCCCCAAGGCGCTTTACAACATAAAACAGTCAGGCGCCCATGTACACACACACTTTCACACACTGATGGTCATGAGCTACAGTGTAGCCACAGCTGTCCCGGGGCACACTGATAAAGGCAAGGCTGCAGAACACAGGCGCCAGCGCCGGTCCCTCCGACCGCCAACAGGCAAGGAGGATGAAGTGCCTTGCCCAAGGACACGACTGTGACCAACTGAGAGGGGCTCCAACCTGCAACCCTCCGGTTACAGGGCAGGCATTTAACTCCTCTGCCACTGTCACCCATTACTTTAGCAAACACAAACGTGACTGCACGAGTCGTGTCCCAACACGACTAATTGACGGCGAAACGTCTTTGTTTAAAATTTGGACATTCAATTTGGAACCAGCCCCAATTCAACATGCTGCTACGGCTAGTTAGCAAAATGACTTTTATTCTGTCAGTTTTACAGACATGGAGCTGGTGTGTTCGATGTGAGTGAGGGTCTTTCACTCATAAACTCAGAGTACTTACACGCTGTTTGACATCTTTGCATAAAAGCAGGCTTCTAACCATTTGTCAACTCCGTTCAGCAAGGCTGCTAAAGCTAATCAAGCTTAGCTAACACAAAAATGACTTTTACCCAATCAGATTATAAAACAGGGGGAAAGATCTTGTGATCATACCTGAGTCAAACTACATAATGAAGGTGCCAACAGGTGGCAAAAGATCTTGAAAATGTATTTTTGTGATTTGACCAAAATGACTAAAACTCCATCGTTTGTCAGCTCAAGGTTATCTCAGTTAAAACGTCATCATGACAGGCGACTTCCAATCCGTCAAAGAAAGCGTCGTCTTTAGGTTTGTACGTTTCCCTTCAAGATTAATTTTCAGCCACGCTAATCATCTTTAGGTGTTTATGGGCAACGGTGGCTCAGAGTTAGGAGTTTGCCCTGTCCTCGGTGGGTTCTTGGTTCGAATCACTGACCCGGTCCTTGTCTCTCCTTGTCAGAGGGACCGGTGGTGCCTGGTGCTTGTCAGTGTGCCCCAGGGCAGCTGTAGCTACAACGCAGCTCATCACCATCAGCAATGTGAATGGGTGAATGACTGACGTTAGTGTAAAGCACTTTTGGAGTCCTTTGACTCATAAAGGCGCTACACAAGTGCTGGTCGTTCACCTTCTAACCTTTAAAAACTCCTCAGTCGCCCAACCAGCTGGTGTGAAAATCAAACGTTTTTTATATGAAGTCAACTCTTTTCACAAAGGTTCTTTTCTGCTCATCCCTCACTTTCTCTCCTCCGCAGTTTTTACGGGTGGATCAGGATAAGGAGTGCAACATAGAATGTGGCGGAGCACCTCGGAAATCTCTGTGTGCCTCCGACGGCAGGACCTTCGCGTCTCGCTGCGAGTTCCTCCGAGCCAAGTGTCGTGACCCCCAGCTGGAGGTCATCCGAGGGCCATGCAAAGGTCAGGTCACGAGTCATGCTTCAGCGCCGCCTGGCGCTCTCACATGCACTGGGGGGGGGGGGGGGGGGGGATCAGAAGCTTGTGGGTTTGGTTCTTTTGAGCATTATTGGCTTTTTAAACAGCGAGAGTGAGTGAACGAGAGGGAGGGGCTTCATGGATGGAGCCACAAATCACAGCATTTGTGTGATGTGCCTAAATATTAGAAGATATGTAGATTTTCTTTATTTCTTGCAGACCTTTTGGCTCCAACAATTCCATCGTGGATTTAAAATTGTTTTAAGGGAACATCTTTTGCTACTACATTTTTTTATGCAAAAGCCTTACATAATTCCTATCTTACTAATTGTGGATGGCTTCTTGAATGCCTCCTGTTTGGAGAAACGGAGGTAACGTCCTTCATGTACGGACTAAAACCAGAACCAACGTGGACTGCTGCTCCAAAATCCCACAGCCGTTCATGCAAACCTGCATATAAATGCAGCAAAAGGGACAAATATGGCAGGAATTTCTTAACATTTTTGTCAAAATAAAAATGTAAAACATAATCAACAGCAGTGCAAGGGTTAAAAAAAAGTTGTGTTTGTGCGAGCTGCTGTGAAATTCTGAAGATCTTCATATCAGGAGGGACCCGTTTACTCAACGATCCTGATTTGATTTAACAGATTGAGCAGAGGCCATTCCAGGAGCTAAATACTATGATTACGATGGTAATCAGTTTAAAAACACCAAAATCCAAAATCTTCTTTCACATTACAGACCAGAAATAAGAGTTTTATCCAGCAGCAAATGATCAAAAACTCTGGTTTCATTTTCGTTGTAAATGGTGTAAAGCTCTAAACGCGAGAGAGAAGCTAAGCCACTGAGGTCAGGCAGCTCACAGAGTCTTTCTGTTGCAGCCCTTGACAGAAGGAAGAGCCCATGCACCCTGGTGCTTCAGTCTCACCCCCACTCTGCTCACTAACTCTATAACATTAGTTCACCGCCTACCAGACTGGAGACAATGCCTCTTTCTTAGCAACATTAGACCGCTAACGCTAAGTCTCATTCCTCGGAAAAGCGCTCGGTGATCTTGTGCTGGATTACCGTAGCAGACATCTGGATGTGGCTAACAGTGGTGCTGCTCAGAATAAAGGAATCCAAGACAAGAGACCATGAAAGTTGCCATGCCCTGAATCGGTAATTGGACGGAGACGCTGAAAGGTGCGGCGACCGCGAGCAAATACGCTGCTAAAATAAACCACTGGGCTGGTCCGGCCCGAGAGCACAGGGATGGAATTTTGTTTAAGCGTTCTTTAAGAGTGGCACCACATTTGTTTTTTATCAAGGCGCTCAGATGATTCAAGTGTCCTGTCATTTTTTCCAGTTGGAGTTTTAGTCGGATCACCCAGGAAAAAGAGGATGGTTTGGGGTTTTTCCAGTGGAGCTAACTTTAGAGCTGTGTTTCCTTCATCCAGAGCATCTTGTGTCTTTGCCCCACTCTCCTCACTCACTTACACACACACACACGCACGCACACACACACACACACACACACACACACACTAGACTGAGTGAAAGCAGTACACATTTCCTTGCATCTGCCCGATGGACAGCAAGCAAGATGCAGCTGCTGACCAAAGTTTCTTACCTCAACGTGAGTCATTGTTTAATGTGATTTTAGGAAGCTGAATAGACGAGGTCTGTGCCGCAGCTAATGTGTCACAACAAGTTTCCTTCAAACTCACTGCAGCTCAACTTTTCTTGAGTGTTTGCACAGCTGGCGCTGTAGGTCAGGTGAGCCAGGGCACCTTTGGAGTGACAGGATGGGCCATCGCTCCCCCTGAACCCTGTGAAATGACCAAAAGTGGGTAAAAGGAACAGGATTGCTGTGAGGGGACAGTTTTAGCTGCACTTTTAGCAGACGGTCGAGGGTTTAGGGGGATGGTCAGACAGACATTAAGGACGGGTTAGGTTTTTCCTGTGCATCAGCTCTTTTCGTGGGTGACTGGAATATTCTGCAAGATCAAACAGACCCGTTTCATTCAGTAATGGCTTTACCACCAGGCAGGTTTGCAAGACTCGCTCCAATTAAGACTCACGGGGCTGCTTCTATTCTGAGCCACAAAAATATCTGCAACTTCCGAAACATCTTGGAACGTCTCCTCTCTCAATTCCCCCTGAGTTTTATTTGCCATTTTCCTTTCGTTCTCCATCATCTGCGAGATCCAACATCTTTCTCTGACTTTTTAACCATGTTGGTTTCACAGTTGTGGCGCATAAGAAAATAGTTAAGCCGTAGGGTGATGAGTGATGGCGATGACGGGTGTCTCTGATGTTTACTGATTCTGGTGATTTGTGGTGCTCCTCAGAGACATCCAGATGTGTTGCAGAGAAGAAGTACACAGAGCAACAGGCCAAGAAGCAGGTCTTTGTGCCTGTCTGCAACCCCGACGGCACTTACAGCGAGGTAACTAAGGGCATTCTTTTAACTCCTTTTAAATCTGAGCTAAAGAATTTTACCTGCGAGGCCACAGCTCCTCAACAGAGCAAATAGTTTTCAGCTCAGACAAAATCGTTACCCTGTACTCCATTTTTACAGATTCCACTCCTAGTTAAGCTCGTGTTGAATCTGTTTGGATGCTGCAATGATTATTTTTGCAGGTTCAATGCCACAGTTACACTGGATATTGTTGGTGTGTTACTCCTAACGGAAGACCCATCAGTGGCTCAGCAGTGGCCAACAAAAAGCCTCGATGCCAGGGTGAGTAAATGCAATCTTTTTCTATTTGGGCTCTTTGTGTCGTAGGCTAAAACAATAGCTCACAGACAATAATTTCATATCACAACGATTAACATGTGATCAAAACCGGTGTTCCTCAAGGCCCTGTTCTAGCCCCTGTTTACTTAGTTAACTAAGTCCATCCAAAATGCATCCATACTTGAACGACAAAATGATTTATAGAGAGGCACAATTTCAAAATCAGGTTGTGGAGACCTTTATGTATGTTGAAACTGAAATTGTCTGATTGTAAAAAAAATTTTTTTTAATCAAATGAATAACTTTTTCTTGTTTCCGATCATTTTAATGTAACCTAAAATTTTCAAGCTCAGAGGCCAATAAAGTGGACAGCTATTCTGGTTCTTGTATAAATGCATGAATGTTGGTGTTACATCTGTGACTTTAGTGTTTCATTCCATACACTTCCAGTTGGTGGCAATAACCAACACATTCTCACACCCAAAGCGTCAAAATATGACGCGTGTGACCAAGCTTCGATATGTGACGAATCGGGATGCCCCAGCGCGTCAGGAGAGGACGATCAGGGACACACTGATGACGCAACGTCCCAGAGCGTCGGTATCCGACGCCGGTGGTGAGACGGACATTAGAACGACTTGTGAACTACTTAACCTTCCCCTCACCCCAGTCCTAAACTTAAGGTCACAGTTACTGACCTTAAGGTTAGGACTGGGGTGAGGGGAAGGTTAAATAGTCGAATAATGTCCGTGTGACCGCGGACGTCAAACACTGATGCCAGCGGAGCCACGTGTCCCTGCGTGTCCCTGACCGTCGTCTCCTGACGCGCTGGGGCATCCCGAATCGTCATATATTGAGGCTTGGTCACACACGTCATATTTTGACGCTTTGGGTGTGAGAATGTGTTGGAATAACAACAACAATAATAATAACAATAACAATAAAATAATAACAGCCACCGGCATTCCTCAAGGACCTACCCTCGCCCTCATTTATTTTTGTATGTTTATAAATGACTAAATCAATCCAGTATATTTATACTGTGATGCCCCAATCATTTTTTTTGGGGCAGCAGTAGCTCAGGTGGTAGAGCGGGTTGCTTCATGATTGGAGGGTCATGGGTTCGATTCCAGCTCCCGCCAGGGGTATCCTGCTGTTGTGTCCTTGGGCAAGACACTTCACCCAACTTCAATTCAATTCAATTCAATTCAATTCAATTCAAAATTACTTTATTAATCCCAGGGGGAAATTGATTGCTGTAGTAGCTCAGAATAATAATAAAAATCAAGTCATCAAAGAGTTATTGTATATTACAATGGCTGTTGGCAGGAAGCATCTCCAGTAGCGGTCAGTGTTGCAACGAAACTGAAGAAGCCTCTGACTGAAGACACTCTTCCGTTGTCGGACAGTCTTGTGGAGAGAATGCTCAGGGTTGTCCATCATTTTCTTGATTCTCTGGAGAATCCTTCTTTGCATTATCTCCTCCAGCGGTTCCCAAACTGTCGAAACTCTGGCTGAGTCCTTGAAAGGGCTTAGAGTTCCTCCATCTTGTTGGCCAGTGATCTCACATTGCCCATTATGATCGATGGAAGAGATGGTTTGAATTTCCTCTTTCTCTGTCTCCGTTTTGCTCCCGCTCTGCATCCACGCTTCTTGCGTTTTAGCTCATTTGGGGTTTGTGGCTTCAGTTGAGGTATTATTTCAGCCTTTCCAATGTCAATCAGCTGCTCCCGATTGTAAACCAGCTTGTTGCCATGGTTACGCATCACAACAAATGCTCAAAAAGTGAAAAAAGCTAAAAAAAATAGCAGTAAAAATCCTCCAAGCTTCACAGCACCAGAAACAGAAAAGTAAAGTGTCCAAAAAAAAATACAGTTTTTCTTGAGAAACTAGAAGAAAAAATACTCAAGAAAAGGCAAAACTTGCATATAGTCAACAGAGCTACTCCAACATGCAGCCACCCAGAGCAGCGCAGTTCCGGAAAAAAGCCTGTGTTAGTGGTGGTCAGAGGGGCCGACGGCGCCAAATGGCAGCCTCGCCTCTGTCAGACCTCCCCAGGGCGGCTGTGGCTACAAGTAGCTTACCATCACTAGCAGTGTGTGAATGTGAGAGTGTGTGAAAGCGTCATTGGGTGTCTAGAAAAGCGCTTTATAAGTTCAATGCATTATTATTATTTATACAAAGTAATCTTTTCTAAATCATGTTGTTGAGCCTTTGAAAAAAAAACTTTCAGTCGCCACAAAAATCTTTGTTGAAACTGACGCGACTTCTTTTTATTTTTACTGGTTTCTTATTGCTAACAAGTAATCCATTTTATTCTGAATGGCACACCTGTTATTTCTCAGAGCTGCAAAGTCGTGCGCATTTTGTCCCTTTCTCTGTTGGACGGTGGTGACATCGTGTTCTTTCTTAATGGCCTATTTCAGATCTTTTGAAGTGCGTTTCTTTGAAAATGTTACGAAAGATTACAATCATACTAAGCAACCTCAGTTTGGAGAAAGAGAGTTTAGTTCGGACCAGCCGGATGAGGTCACGAGGCCTGCGTGAGTGGGCTCAGCTACAAAGTCTTCCTGTTATTTTTAAACTACTCTAATCTCAAAACTTTCAAAGCAGTTGATGCACATCCTAATTCATAAACTTTTCCACCCCTGTCAAATAACATTTTTGAAGAGCTTTTGAAGGAGATTTGGGAAATTCCAGCTGGAATTAAACAATAATCAAGCCAAAACCATCACAAAATGGGAAATGTATGCCAATCTAGATTTCACAAAATAGCATTTAATCCAGACTAATCTGTTTCTCCAAAGTGAGACAGCTCAAAGAGCTATCTACGGGTAATCATTCATTTAAAAGATTCAGAACCATTGTCAAATTGTATGAACTTTAAAAACATTGTCATACTAGCAAACTACTCTTTCAAAAATGGTATCAAACGTGCTTCTGATGAATTTAAAACCTAGTAAAGTACATTTTTTTATATCCCACATCTTTGGAATAATATTTAAAAGACTTTAATCTTTTAACATTTCCATAGAACTTGTGTTTAAAAAAAAGGCACCCTGTGTGTGTGTGTGTGTGTGTGTGTCATGTATTTAAAAAATTGAAATTTATATTAAAACCCCATCTTTAACCACTGCTCTCCCTTTTTTGAATCTTTAATAAATAAAATTGCAGCCATCTTGACCGGGAACCCCTGGAAGAAGAAATCTCAATTGGATGTTTCTGGTTAAAAATGAATGAATGAATAAATAAATAGAACGATATCACATAACTGTAAGGGAAGGGAGTTTTTGATCTTCAGCCTGTGGGAAAGTGGTCTGCAACTGGACTGTTGGTCACAGGGTTTCAGGGGCCACCCGAGGACTCGGCATTGCACAAGCGGATGGGGTTGCGGTCTAAACAAGCCGAGAAGAAAATCCATGCTGCAGAGTTGAGCAACAAAGCTTAACAGAAGGGAATGTGAGAGATCTTAGAGGACAGTCTCAGCTGTACAATCAGCTAACCGATGCCACATGTCCCGTCTGCATGGGAGGTTGTTGCTGCTGCTGCACGGCGATGGAGATAGGTTCAACTTAACAGAGTATTTACTGTAAATTTTAAGATTTAATTGTGTCATGTAGAGGAAGGCTACATATCTGTATTTGTTACAACTGATTTATAGTTATATGTCTTTAAAACAATGTTAGTGAATTTAATCAGTGAGAAAAATGTTGAATTAAACAAATTTTGCATTTAAAAGAATCCCAAATTTTTCTAGAAAGAAAGTCAGAGTGTTCTCTGGTCAATCTCTCCATGCTCCCCCTGGGTCAGGTCATACACAATAACAACGTTACCTATCGTAGTTACTGCAGATGACACCCACATCTACCTAGCTCTATCGCCTAGTGACTGTGGTCCCCTAGTGTCTGGAGCAAGTCAAACTTCATCCAGGTAAACAAAGACAAGACTGACGTTATTGTTTTTGGAAATAAAAAGGACATGATGGAGGTTATTGCTCAGCTTGGTTCCAGAGGAATGAAGACAAAGACCCATGTTAGAAATCTTGGTATTATGATAATAATAATTATTATTTATAATTGATTCAGACCTGAGCTTCACTGGTCACATTAAGGCTATAACTAGATCAGCGTTCTATCATCTCCATCAAATAGCACAACTCAGAGGTCTCATGACCAGACAAGACCTAGAGAGACTCATTCATGCGTTCTTCTACAGCAGGCTGGACTGTTGCAATGGTCTTTTGACTGCAGCTTACTAAAGCCCTTTTCAGATTGACATTCTGGAATATGTGTGGACAATTCGATCCGGTTTTTATCCGGAACTGTGTTTTCAGACACGCCGCTTTTGTACCGGAACTTGTCCTTTCGGCTGCCGTGCCTTCACACAGCAGGGAAACGTTCCAGATGTCTGAGGGAGAAGGGGGGGGGGGGGGGGGGGATTGGACTTATGTTAAGCATAATTCTGCGCACACGAAGATGCAAAAGAGACCTGGATGATGAAGCTCAATGGTTAGAGGAATCACTGAAGGGGTGTGAAGCGCCCCGCCGCGCGTCTAGGCGGTACCGTAGGAGGCGAGCTGCCGTGGTTCGCCGCATGCTACAGGAGCGAGCTATCTAGGTGCGCACAGCGTCCCCCGGTCCCCTCCTCCCTGTCTGGAACTCGACCTCACCAGTCTGAAGCAGCCACCTTGTCCGTAACAAGTCCGGACTTGTTACTAGGGGCGTCGTCCGGTTAAATTACGGAAAACGTTATCCGGATGTTTGTATTCAGACACAAAGTTCTTACGGACAGAGTCCGGAACATTCCCGTTTTTCATGGCCTGTCTGAAGGGGGCTTTAGAATGCTGCTGCTGGAGTCTTAACAAGAACCAAGAGAACCGAGCACATCACTCCTGTTCTTACATCTCTACACTGGTTACCAGTAAACTACAGAATCAATTTCAAAGTGCTACTACTAGTTTATAAATCACTCAATGGCATGGGGCCAGAATACATGTAGGATCTCCTTCAGGTATCTACGCCCAGCAGGGCTCTGAGGTCCCTAGGAAACAGTCAGCTGGTAGAACCTCGGGTCAGAACCAAACAGGGTGAAGCTGCTTTTAGCTACTTTGCTGCAGACAGATGGAATCAGCTTCCACATGACCTCAAATGTGCCCCAACTCTAGAAACTTTTAAATCAAAGTTGAAAACCTTCATGCTTTCATCAGCCTTTGGATGACTCTTTCTTATGCTGCACCTTGTGCACTGCAACTGCTCACCCTTTAACTTTAACTTTGTCGGCTTCTTATGAATTTTTGAATTGTATTTTCTGTCACATTGATTTTTTCATGTTCTTGCTATTCTTACTAGTTGGAAAGCCCATTGAATTGCCTCTGTGTATGCAATATGAGATATTAATAAAGCTGCCTTGCCTTCTCATTTGATTTTGATTTCTTTTAATATTTGATGTTAATTTTGATTTTAAATATTTATTTTCAGGATCGAGACAAGACAAACCAACAACGAAAGAGCCACGTAAACCAGGTGAGAGTTTACATCAGGACACTGACACTTTGACTCGTTTTACGTTTGGCTTGAGTCCTTCATGCTTCCTTCATATTAGATGAAGTCCTTGCTGAGACCTGGCTGGATCACAGCACATTTGGACAGCCTCCTTTGATGTTTAGACATATCTGGGATGCAACTATGACATGTCACATTTCAATTCTAAAGCTCTTAACACACATGGCTCTAGTTCAGGGACATCGACACGCTGCTACCTCGATAAAAACCACTATGAAAGTTTTATGCGTTGTGAAAATCCTGCATGGCGTATTAGACATGATTTCATCATTGCAGTCTTCATCCAGTAATGTCAGCAGTACATGCAATGGTTTAAATACACTTGGCTGTTGATTTAAAGGGGAACCCTTCTTAACTCCTGAAATAGTGTGAATAATCTCCGTTTGGAAAATCAAGGACAAATTCTGTTGGGAGCAGCAAGCTGATAGATTTGATAGAATTTAAGACGGCATTATTTATGTGCAAAGTAAATAAAAAATACTGCCCGGAAATATTCAAAAACTGCAGAAAGACAAGGTGGGCATGGGTTGAGAAGGGAATTACATTTGAAGCAGCATTATGCTAGAAAAAAATTGAAAAGTACGTGTATTTCAATTAGTGGAGTTATTTTATGGAATACTCTTGAGGAAAGAATCAAAGAAAGTTTAATTATAGCGCAATTTAAGAAATTATACAAAGAATTAATTTTTTCCAGATATAGACAAGAGGATCACTAATTTTTATATGTACTGTAGTGGTAATATATGTTAACGTTGTTGTAATTGATGTTGATACTTTTTGAGTTGTTGTATTGTGATATTTGAAATTTTTTAAGTATGAGTAAATTGATTTAGGGATAGGTGAAATAAGCTATGCTTCTTCCTACTCCTTTTCGAACAATTACGGTTGTGATAAGTTATCTAAGTTGGAAATTATTATATGTATTCTTTTATTTGTTTAAAATAAAAAAATAAATAAATTGTTCTTGTCCAACGAGGGCCCACTTGCAAAGTGGGTTTCTTTCTGCCATTCAAAACAACTCATCTAAAATACCGTAAATCCTCTAATATTAGCCTGCATTTAATTAACTGCCGGGTATCATATTTTGGCCGGTGTCGGAATCGGCGGCGGTGAATAATAGCCGGTTTTTTATTGTGGCCGGGTGGAATGTGGTAACAAGCAAGTACGGGGGGCGGTTGTGTCATCCCTCTCACTTTTGATTTGCCAGTGATAGACCGCGAGGGTAACTTTAACCGTGCGGAGACGAAGACGAGGCAAAAATTTGATATCAAGTTCAAAGAGAACGTGCTGATTATGCTGCAGAACACTCTGGGGAGTAGCAGGGTTTGTATGAACTAGTCACTAGTCGACTTCACCGCTCTATAGTGACTTTTTATGCCTGTCGTCGACTAGTCGCTGTCACGTGATAATGACCGGCAAGATGCAGTCCACGGAAAAGACAGCAGCCTGCTGTCAGCAGGTGACAAGCTCCTGCGCGTCGGAGGAGCAACGCGCTATGCCAGAGCGTCGGTACTGACACCCGCCGTAAAATGGACATTTAACCAAATTGTGACCTTTACCATCTTGCAATTTAACCTTCCCCTCACCCCCATCCTAACCTTAACCAGTGTGCGCATGCAAAGCTGATTGTTGACGCGCTCCAGACATCTGCGTCCTGAGCACGGCCACAGTAACATTATCAAATCAGGTGTCGCCACCTCAAAAACTAATTTAACACGCGATCGTTCATGTCGGCTCATTTCCTTTTATGTTTTCTGTCTTTTATTCTTTTATTTGTGCCTGATGCGTTTCGCTGCTGTGGAGCGGGACGCATCACCTGTTTTGTCCTCGGTGATGCACCTAACTGATGTGGCCGGCGAGCTCTCCGCTGTTTTTGCGGTCGGTAGATCTTTTAGAACTGCAGTTCAGAGGTAACTCATGAGGTGAATATATATGAAGCCAGGTAGCAGTTTCTCTTTAGGATTGAGAGGAGATGCAGGAAGATAATAAACAGGCAGGACAGAAAAATAGTCAAATAAAAACAAGTTAGTTTTTGTACCTGCTGGTTGCAACAAACAGACACCATTGAAGGTCATCAGAAGAGAGGAACAGAAAATGAAATAATTATTTTAATGTTTAGAGCAGCAGGAACTCCGAGAGGCTGCAGGCGCATCAGTGAGTTTGCGGCCGCTGCGCAGGGGGAGGGGGGAGAGGGCTGAAGCAGAAACTACCGTTTGTTAAAAGAAATGTGTTTAACTTTGAAAATGTGGGCGCAATTTTAATTGTCAAAAACTCCAGCGATCCATTAGTTCATTTTGCTCAAATAGAAATTGAGGCCTGTCTCTAATTCTGGTCCTCCTTCCAATAAAGGCCTGGAGCTTGAGTCAAATACAGGCCCGGGCCTGTATTAGAGGATTTACGGTATTTCATTGAGAATTTGCTGCTAATTTTTCAAACGTAGATCTGTTGTTGCAGCCAAACCGTTGAGAGGCAGCAGCAGCAGCAGAAATCTTGTTCAAATGTGCATGAATATCCATCTGTGTCACGGCCATGTCAGAAATAATGCTGATAATTATCTTACCTGTTGCAGATAGCTTCCTGAATGACCTCAGTTTGAAGGACTGATAAGCTAATGGCTAGTTCTACTGGAGCCGAGACCACATTACATTGCTGCTGTTCTAAAATCGCTCCAATCTCTAATCATTTATGACGTTATCATTTGATAAATCCCTACACCAACATCTTATTTGCTTTTGATGGTTATTTTGGCAAAAATTTTAAGATTTCCTTCTGAACTTGTCCCTGGATGTAGGAAATATTCCCCATTTCGCTGCTGCTGGTGATTTTCATGCCTGTAAATAATCACAAAATAACTGTGAAACAAAGATTTGCTGCATTAGTAATAAACATTGGTCTTCATAATGGCTAAATAATCCCCTTAACACAGAATGCAAACAGCTCAGAAACCGGTAACGACCTGTTCCGGACAGCTGCTGTAATAAACCTGTACGTTTGTCGTGTCTAACCGTATTTCTCTATCGTCTGGTTCTTTTTCAGCTGCAGTGTCATAAAACACAAGGATATTTCCACACATCATCCGTCATTCTTCTTTAACTCCGTCTCTCATCATTCCATCTTTTTCCAGATGCAATTTCCTCTAAAACTGTACATTTGTTTATCTGATGTAATTTGGATGTTCTGAATGTGGCTCATTTTGTTTTTTTCAGGGTGCGTGTGTGTGTGTGTGTGTGTGTGTGTGTGTGTGTGTGTGTGTGTGTGTGTGAGTGAGAGAGGGAGAGAAAGCGCACATACATTCATTCCCTTTCTGTTTGCCACATGAGTTATTCCTGTCAGCGTGATTTCTGCATCTGCGTATTTCCCACTGTAAACAGTCGCGGGCATAGTGTCTGTCTTGGACAAGTTGTTACACATACATCAAGTGGAAAGGCAAGAAATTGAGAAAGTAGGAGGAGGAGTGTTGTGAGAGGGAGGGAAGGGAGGTGACAGGGTTGGTTGTGGTCCAATCTGAACTGGTTGGATAAACAGGGTGGTGAAAAGCAGAATAAATTGTAGGTTTGTGGTTTGCCAGTGCTGAAAACAGCCGTGGTTGCGTCAATATTTTGGTTCAAATGAAGTCCATTGGTACCTAAAGCATTTGATATCCTTTCATGCGCTTTTATTATCAGGATACAGGCAGCTGCACACTGAGCAATTTGCTGTCCGTGGCTTTGTGTTGCTTGATTTAACGTTTTTTCACAGGCTGGAATCACGTGTGGCTGATGACTGACAAACAGCCGTAAAACTGATGCCTTGTGACCACAAATGGCGCGGGGCTTTCCTGGCTGATGCTTAAAGAGGTGTTACAGTCTTGTAAAAGGCCACAAAGTAAAGATCATCATTTGCGGTTCATCATAAATCCAAATCAAAATTACACCAAAAGAAGAAGAGAAAGAATAACGTTTTCTTTACTGAACTGAGGCAATTCATTGTGGTAAATTACTTTTAAAGTCAATATCAAATTAAATACTGCTGAGTAAATGCAGATAGATCCCTCAGTAAATGAAGTCATCATCTGAAAACTGGGCTGTGTGTTTGCTCAGGTTTTCTTGATGTTTATTGAGGTGAAACGTTTAAGTAACAAAAAGGCGAAACCAGAAAATATCTGCAAGGGATGATAACTTTTCCCCAGCACTCGGAAACACTGACGTGATGTGTTTTAACTCTACTAAACCCAATACGAAGCTTTGCATTTCTTGAAAGGTCTCTATTTTTCACTAGAAAATTATTGGTAATTAATATTTTATTGTCTGTGGAGCCACACGTTAGAGGATTTCTGTCTGAAGAAAATAAATGGACCTTTAATTTGACCAGAATAAAAGTGAATCACACCCTTTTCACCACAGGTTAAACACAGAAACACCAAGCGAACCAAGTCATACTCCCCACCACTAATTGGTTTATCTCACACTTGTTTCTCTGCCTTTCCACATCTCCCATTTTATATAAAAGCTCTTCTCTTCTTTAATCGACCTCAATTTACCCTCTTTAGCGTAACTACCTCTCTTAATGAACGATTTGAAATCCCAGGATGATGAGACCACTACGCCATGCTTATTTTTCTTCTCTTTTTCAACAAATCTCTTTCCTTTTTAAACTCGTGCACATCTTTCACTCCACCTTACCCTACTTTCACTCCCTCTCTGTCCCTCTTGACCGGGCAATGTGCAAAATCTCATGCTGTACAGTTCTCTGATCTCACTGACTCTTGTAATTGTAGTCTCCTTGCAAATATTCTCCATTCTAAATGCAGATGAAGCAGTCATAGAGGTGGATCCACAGCCCGTTACTGAAGACGATGGTAAGATCTCATCATATTATTGAGATGAATTTAACTGTGTCTGAGAATTTGCAGCGGACTCCGAATCAGTGCTAAGCTTATAAATCATTAACAGAAGAAGAACGGAACAAGAGCAGGATGCATTGGGTTAGTTAAGAGAGACAAAGCGAGCAGACGTGGTGACAGGTAAATCCGTGGAAACTGAGGCGTAGAGATTGGACCAGAGTTTGTAAGAATACAGTAAATGGCCTGTATTTGTATAGCGCCTTCTAGGGTTCTACAACCCCCCAAGGCACTTCAGATCAATCAATCAATCAATCAATCAATCAATCAATCAATCAATCAATCAATCAATCAATTTTATTTATAAAGCGATTTTCAAGCAAAGTGCGACTCAAAGTGCTTTACAGAATTAAAATGACCCCAAATTCCCACAACCAGTGCGTCATTTGAGCCGGATCTTGCCGGACTAAGATCCGGGAACTCTTATTTTGAAAGGACCGTTCCGGCAACTACTGTATCTGCTAGGATCCGGCAACTCACGCGAATAACTTGGGCTATACGCAGGATTCGAATTAAGGGTGAGCTAGGGAGCTCCTGGAAGCCCTCAACACACCCAGGGGGAGCCCAAAAATGATCCTGGTTCTACTTATATAAATGTATCTATGTGGACTCTCCGGGGATTATTTTGAGCGGAGAGGCGCAGAGCTCTGATCGTTGTCGTGCTCCAGACAGATGCGTCCTGAGCACGGCCACAGTAACATTATCAAAGTGTCGCCACCACAAAAACAAATTTTACACGCGATTGTTTATGTCGGCTCACATCCTTTCACGCTTTCTGTTTTGCGTTTCGCTGCCCCCCCACCCCCCACCCCCCACCCCACCCCTCGTGCGTGTTCTGGCATCTGTTCCGCGAACATTTGAATTACAAATTAAGCACTGCCCATAACAGTTTGAAAACGTTAACAGACATATGCATGCGCGCACACACACATTTGGCTGAGTCCAGATGAACCAAGTAAGGTAAGGCAAGGAAACGCCATCAGAGGAGCCGTCTGCCCCGACAGCATCAGATCTTCCACAGCAACTAAGTCAGGGTGCTCAGAGGAGACAGAGCATAGACCCCCACCTCCACTCAAACACTACCTGTTGTAGAGCACCCAGGAAGCAACAGTTGACCACCGCCCCTGGGGCAGAGGGCCCCCACAGAGGGCCCCCAAAGAGGGCCCCCACAGAGAAAACACTGGATTAAAATGAGTAAAAATATGGAAATAAAAGAGCTAACATAAATGATAAAAGTGGGAAAATAAATAATAAATAAAATCATATGGACAGGAAAATAATAATATTATTAAATAATGAAACTGTGCTAAAATATAATCATACAAAACATGCAACGCCTGTAATAAATATAATCATGTAAATCGAGAAATAAAACTATGATAAATAATTAGATAAAAGCTAACCTAAATAGGCGGGTCTTGAGCCTGGACTTAAAACGTGAACGTTCTCTGCGGCCCTGAGGTCCTCCGGCAGATCGTTCCAGAGGTGAGGGCCGTAATACTGGAAGGACACCTCGCCGTGAGTGTGTGTCCTGCCTTTAGGGATGACTTCACAACACAATCAGTTATTCATTCATGTACACACACTCTGGTGGAAATGAGTTACGTAGCCACGGCTGTCCTGGAACGCAAGACTGCCAAACTCAGGTGCCACCGGTCCCTACGACCACCACCAGCAGCATGGGTGGTTAAGTGTCTAGTACAAGGACACAACGACTGCAACAGACCAAGTGGGACTCGATCCCACAACCCTTCAGTTACGAGATGGGCACTTAACTCCCTTGACACTGTCATCCCATTTCTTCTTTGTTCTCTTTCAAAAAATTTGGAAATGTTCTTTCAGTCAAAGATTCCTTTCCAATACCAGTTGGTGTTTAATTTTAACCTCCTGAGACCCTGCATGCACACATGAGAGCATTTTTGATATTGAATTTAAGTTAAAAAAAAAATCTTTTTTTACTTCTATTTTTTAGGAAACTTGTCAATATTTTATTTTATTTTACATCACACCAAATACAAATTTGGGTCTCAGGAAGTTAAATGACCCTAAAACTGGATTAGTGCTCTTTACAACAACTTGTGAAGGTCGAGTCTCCATTAAATCAGAAACACAAATGAATGAGTGAATGGAACCTCCCAAAATGCATGAAAATCCACCCAGATGTTCTGCTGTAGATACTCACTTAAGGGTCAACTGATGCCAGGTGTTCCAGTCACATGTGTGATTGGCTCCTGATTGAAAGCTCTCTGACACCTTGGTGATGATGTGTGTGCTACGACCAACACACCACACCAGTCAACCTTTTAACAACTGCTGATTGAGGAAGAGGATGTCATTCCAGAGGGAAATGTGACCAAGCTGGTGACCAGCATGGATCTTGTGCATGTTTGAGGCACCAGTGATTTTAGCACAGATTTGGTGTACTATGGTAACTATATCTTTAACTGTTGCTTTTTGACAAATGCATGATTCTTACAACTTGTACCTCACTGTAAAGGGTGCTAATCAGATCTTTCCACTGTTCAAATTTAAATACAAATTGTTGCATTAAAAAGGAGAAATTATTCTGTAATAACTGGTGATGCATCCAGTTGAATTGGCCCGTGCATCTTCAATCAATCAATCAATCAATCAATCAATCAATCAATCAATCAATCAATCAATCAATCAAAGCTTTATTTATAAAGCGCCTTCCACAACCCTGTCAGGAAGCCCAAGGCGCTGAACATGGTACAGTAGAAGTACAAATATAGTGAATAAATCAAAAATAAAAGCAATTCAGAAATAAAAGAAATTCAAATTACAAAATACAAATTACAAAAAAAGGTGAAACATTCTATTACAGGACAGATGGGTAAAACAAGGGATAGAGTGAACCATGAAAACTGTGAAAGAAATTCAACGTAAAAGAGGGCCGAATCAAACATGTTCAGGAAACGCCAAGCGGAGGAGGTGTGTTTTTAGGCGACTCTTAAAGACTTGCAGAGATGGGGACAGCCTAACTGAGGGTGGCAACTGGTTCCAGAGTGACGGTGCTAGTACTGAGAAAGCCCGGTCCCCGCGAGTACTACACCTAGAACGAGGGACAGTGAGCAGGCCTTGGTCAGAGGAGCGCAGAGCGCGTGATGGGGAATGTTTGTTCAGGAGTGTGGCCAGATAGGGAGGAGCACCACCCTGGAAGAAATTGTAAACAAAGACGAGGATTTTGAATTGTGCATGATAGCAAACCGGAAGCCAGTGCAGGGAGGCCAGAACCGGACTGATGTGGTCCCGTTTCCTGGTCCCAGTCAGGAACCTGGCTGCGCTGTTCTGCACAACCTGTAGGTGACGCAGTGATGACTGACACAACCCTGCATAGAGAGAGTTGCAGTAATCAAGTCTAGAAATAACAAAGGCATGCAGTACCCGCTCCAGGTGGGCTCTCGACAGCATAGGCTTGATTTTAGCAAGGCGTCTCAGGTGAAAGAAACTGGACCGGATCACTTGATTGATGTGAGCCTCAAATTTAATCTTGTTAGTATGCCTCCTGGATGTCTCCCTGGTGAGGTTTTCTGGGCATGTCCAACCGGGAGGAGACCTAAAGGAAGACCCAGGACACGCTAGAGAGACTATGTCTGACTACGGCTGGTCAGGGAATGCCTCGGGATTCCCCCAGAGAAGCTGGCCCAAGTGGCCAGGGAGAGAAAAGTCTGGGCCTCTTTCCTAAGGCTGCTGCCCCCACAACCTGAACTCGGATAAGCGAAAGAAAATTGATAGATAGATGGCATCTATGACCGTGCAGGAATTTGAGTCTCTATGTCTGTAATAAAGGAGGGAAAAGCGAGTGGGAAAAGAAAGGAAATGGCCATGAGAGCGTTCTATACGCTGCAGGTGCCACTGAATACATCAGAAACTCGCAACTGAAGTCCTGCAGTAGGATCTTATCCAGGATCTATTGACTCAGTCACATTCCTCCAGCCCATAGACTTCCTAATTTACAATACACTGTACACTTCCAGAGCTGCTACACCGTCTGCTGGACATCAATCATTCTGACAGAAAGAGCAGGGAGTCATAAAAACTCAAAAAAGATTGTAGTCCGGAAACAAGAAAAGTGAGGTGAATGAACAAGGATCGCACAGGGATCAGCCACAGACTAAATCTCAATTGAGCCAATGTAATGGAAAGAGATTTCCTTGTATTCAACTTTAAACTGGAGGTCTTTGATGTTAAGCCATAACTTTGGGCCTAGAGTAGGTGTTGGTGCTGGGGAATGTCGCTGATTGGCTCATTTCTTCATCCGTAACAAGATGCTTGGTGGGTCTACCGCCACACCTTAAAACAGCCTCTTGTAGGGTCTTGATTTGTCAGTTCTGACTCCTTGGATGGAAGCAGAGAAAACTGATTTGAGACTGAACAAAGGAAAGCTGACACAAAACAAAGCAGAACTGTTTGTCAGAACGTTGTTCTAATAAAGCCGTCTCTGTGATTTCCCTCAGACATTGCTTCCCAGTATCCGACTTTATGGAAGGAACAGGAGCGCAGTCGACAGAACAGAACCAGGACATCGCGTGAGTATCAAAGGCCACTCTTTTCTTTAATGGTGGCAACCAGGTATTTGCAAACCTCAGCTAAAAGTCCACTTTGCATTCATCTTACGTGTGCGAGCCATCCCAGTTTGGGTCTGTTCCTGTCCTTTAAGGACAGATGGTGGGTTGTGAAACCCATACGTCTTGGTGTTGAAGTGCATCGGGCTTTGAGGATCTGCTTGACTGTGGTTTCTGCATTGCAGCGAGTCTGTAATTATCTTCACATGGCACCAACACAGGATCTTCTCCTTTAACACACGTGCACGTTTATCGTCATATCAGCCTTTTGCTCTTGGGGAACTGAGTTGCTCTCTGTACTTTATGCTGGCCCAAAGATGAGAACCTTCTGTGCTTGTGTGGGTTTGTGTGTGAATCCCATTACCATAATTTACAGCCAATAAAGAGCTAGAAAAATGCAGCATTGATGGTTTTGATTAGCATATGTTTTTTTGAGGTACTGAGATGAATTTTTTTTTTTAAAAACTAACCCCCACCCCGACAAAGGGGGTCCATACAGAGGAACTGAAGCAAGAAGACTTGGTTTAAAAAAGGGAGGCATTTCTTTGAGCGGGTAAAGATCTCTACTGAAAGTTAAGAGGAAAATATTATTCATAATCCTGAAGAGGATGTGCTGCACACGAGAAGAAAAGGCCTGAACATTTCCACCCGTCTTTCATCAAGACCACTGCAGACGTCCTTTGTATGGACCCAAACACGAGTTTACAGAAAGTCAAGTAGGAAAGTCCTTCAATTCAATTCAAAAATACAATTCAAAAAAGTCCTACCTCTGCATATGGCCAGGGTGACTGGCTGTGCATGCTGTCACGGGAGACTCACCTGAGACAAACTACGCTGGTCGTTTGCAGCGCCAAAGGAAAACGTTCCAGTCGTATGCAAGACCCCTGTGTCTGCGATGCGATGTGATGCATGGGGCCCAAAGCAAGTGAGTGTAACCGAGGGCCCTGAGAGGATGACGCTACCCGGATAAAAGCTGCACATGAAGAGAGACGGACAGCCATGAACTCGAGAGGCTTTTTTATTGACACCACCGTCACTTCACATTACAGCAGTCACGTTCCCAACAACCAACCCACACACCTCCGGTCAGCACAGTAAAAGCGCTGCACACCACATCCTGTCTGGCTGCAAACAAAATAAGAGTCTCACTAAAGTAGTTTACATGAGAATGGAGGCAAAAAGAAGAAGGCTGAGGACATAAGGAGCCATTTTCCAAAGAAACGTGGAAGTCACTTAAAGTCAAGTTAGCTAATCAAATGAGTCCATCATAATAACGTTATTGGCAGTGCTAGCATACAGCAGGTTAAACATCTGTAGCTCATCTACAGGTGATTTACCTGATGATTTACTTTTCTCTGAGAGAGAAAGAGAACTAACTATGTTAATCATGCTCTGTTGGTGTTAGATGTATAAGACCCCACCAATGTCCAGAGCCAATCTACGCCAATGCTCACAGATGCAACAGTCAGCCCAATCAGATCTGACTAGGGATGTTTTGGTTTATCCGGGTAGGAGCTTGCCAACTACTGCAGCCTAAAAAAGTTGATATATTTAACCATTCTTCTTTATCCAGCCTCATCGTGTGACCAGGAGCATCAGTCTGCTGTGGAAGAGAAGAGGCTGCACAATAACGACGCTGTGTTTGTACCAGACTGTGCCCATGGCGGTCTCTACAAGCCAGTCCAATGCCATCCCTCCACTGGCTACTGCTGGTGTGTTCTGGTGGACACTGGAAGGCCCATACCTGGGACCTCAACCAGGTAGGCTAGCATTTGACAATTTTGTTGTGTACCTGTACAATGACAATTAAAGAATCTTGAATCTTAAAGGAGAATAGTTTACCTTTATAAAAGTTTGCCAATAATTTGTCAGCTTTGAGTTCACCGTTAAAGCGGTCAAGTGATTGTTAAGCATCCTAGAGCAGAGTTACCATTTAACAGTCTTTCAGATAGGATGAGTCATACTTAGGGATGGGTACCTTTGACATTTGAATCGATCCGGTACTAATTCCCAGTACCTACGAATCGATACCGGTACTTAACGGTACCAATTTTTGATACTTTTGAGTGTTTATTATTTTATTCCCTTTTATAATTAAATATATATTTTTCTCAATATATAACCATATTTGATAAATATAACGATAAATAACATCCAACTGTTTGTATTTTAACATCATCCTTGTAGTTTTATAAGCTGATAATTAAACTGAAGCAAACATCTTTACTGTGAACTAAATTTACTGTGTATCTTCATTCCTTTTGCCGTCCTTTTTTCATTTGATTTTTCCTACTGGGAAGTTAGAATTTCCGAGGAGAAAGCGAACGCACCATTAGCTGATAACAATGGTGGCAATGGAAGCTAACATATCAAGCTAACGTTATCTTAAACAGTTTATTTAACTGCTGGAGCAGATTAAAACAATGATGCCTCAAACTTAGATCGTTGTCACTGGTTTCATCTTCACCCAATCACCCGTCGCATTTAGTAAAGTGAGGCCAAACGTTAGAGCGCGTTCATGTTGTTCTAGTCAGAATTTCTGAGATCCGAGGAGAAAGGGAATGCACCATTAGCGAAACGGAAGCTAACAAATCAAGCTAACGTTATCTTAAACATTTTATTTACCTACCGGAGCTGCTCTGTTTACAACTCGCTCGCAGCTACCGATGACATAACGCTCTTGCGCATGCGCAGCTGTCTAGGCAAGTTCTCGTTGTGAAGGACGGGCACCAAAACGAGGCACCGTTTCAAATGAAGTGAATCAGTGCTCGGTCGGTACTGTGGCATTCGGTCGGTACCTTAAAAAGTACCGAATTCGGTACCCATCCCTAGCATACTTACGTTTGTCCAGACTTTGCTCCCACGTTTAAACTTCTGAAGGTCTCTAAGCAAGCAACAACAAAACAAAAAAAAAGAATGAGCTAAAACAGTGAAAACAGTCAGTTTTACAGATTGGAGCGGTCTTATTAAGCAACGTTGCTGAGCATCATGTTAACAAGGCATCAGGCAGAGTGCCAGATAGCACATTAGGACACGTATGCACTGTGGATTATACTTGGCCAGCTTTTGACACAGTCACACAGCAGCAATAGAGACATTACTGTCTCAAAGGAAAGCAGAGAAAGCTTCCTTGTGTCCCACGCTCTCCGTCCCCCTCTCTTCTTCCGTCTCCTTCCTCACTATCCCTCCTCCTCTCTGTCCTCATACCAACTCTAAATCCTCTCCCTACTTTGGACGACTTTCACAGCCACTGGTTTGCCACAAAACAATTATTTGAATCCCTAAGATTTGACTAAAGGGTAATTAGGAAACACAGGATTCCTCTGATTTTACGAGGATGGTTTTGCTCCTGTAAACAATCCCCCTTTTCAGTCAGACTTTTGTTGTTTGGAATATGCTTTTGCAGGTATGAACAACCAAAATGTGACGGCAATGCCAGAGCCCATCCGACCAAACCAAAGGACCATTATAGAAGCAGACATCTCCAAGGTACATCCCCACATGACTTGGTCTGTTTTTATTTGCTGACCACATGGTGGTGTTTGCCTCAAACTGCTCCCACACTTCCAAGGCTGTGATGTGTGTGTGTGTGTGTGTGTGTGTGTGTGTGTGTGTGTGTGTGTGTGTGTGTGTGTGTGTGTGTGTGTGTGTGTGTGTGTACACATCATTAGTACTGACGCTCAAGGAGACACTTGATAAAGACTTGAGGATAGCCAGATACTACCCTTTACTGGTCAATGAGCAGGGAGACAGAGACGGATTGGGGGAGGTTTAATCTTCAGCTGACATTTGAGATGGTGGATAGTGGAATGAAGGCATAGATGAGAAACAGCAGGGAGGTGAGGTGGAGATAATGGATGATAGGATGCCAGAGACAGGTGGTGATACCAAGACTGATATTAGGGCAGATAACTACATTGAGGGTAGGAGATCACTCTGGGGTTGGGAGTCACAAAAAGATCTAAGTTACATTTTTAGAGGATATAAACAAGAATCCGACACTCTGAAGCTACATATCTGGGGTCTCATTTATCAAGCTTGCTTACGCACAAAATGGGGTCAGAAAACTGCGTAAGCAACTTTCCATGCAAACTTTGGAATTTATGAAAGAAAAGTTAGCGGAAAAATGTGTGTAACTTTAAGTTGACTGAGGCCCTGTCCACATGTAGCCGGGGATCTGCCAAAACGTAGATATTTTTCTACGTTTTGGCCTGTCATCCACACGAAAACGGAGTTTTTTCACACCAAAACGGATCTTTTTAAAAACTCCGGCCAAAGTGAAGATCTGCGTTTTCTCCGTTTTGGGTGTCTGCGTGTGGACAGACAAAATGGAGTTTTAAGGTCCGCAACGTCACTTTCCGCAACAAAAAAATGCTGACATCACGTGTGCGACCTGTGTTTACACTAGCCGGCATCACGGAAGCCTTCAGAGCTGCCCTCTGTCACTACCCGATCCATCAATTGTCCAAGCGCTTTCTGCTTGTTTGTTTTTGCAAGAGGAATTACTGCTCCTTGCGGAAGACCACAGACGAAGGACGAGTTTAAGAACGGGGGAAGTACTGCCGCCTACAGGTCTGGCATGTCCATAACAACGTATTTATCCGGGTACGTGTGGACAGAGTTTGTTTTTAAAACGCGGTGGTGTGGATGCAAGTTTTTGGAGGGGCGGATATCCGTTTTTAAAAAACCCCGGCTACGTGTGGACTAGGCCTAAGGACCTGGCTTACACACATGAAATCCTGCAGCATTATCACTTGTACCGCTTCGTTTTCTCACAGAACAAGAACCCCCACACGCACACGCACACACACACACACACACACACACACACACACACACACACACACACACACACACACACACACACACACACACACACAGCCTGAAGCGCAGAATACGGAATGCAGAATATCAGCAGGGGGACAGATTGAGACAGAATGTCATGCGTCTGTGACAGTGTGTGTGTGTCCTGTCACTGTGACCCGATTGATCATGCACCCTGCCTACTTGTACACGGGAGATCTCTGTTTGGCTGACTGGTTGGCATGTGTGGCTTTCGCCCTGGAGTCTGGGGATCGAATCCCGATTGGACCATTTTTTTATATCCGCCACAGATCTCTCTGAAGAACTCAGAGCTGACGGCTTCAGCAACGCTGTGCCACTCCGTGGATTTTCTCTTATTTGTTTTGCAAAAGCACTTCCTTTCATTTCTCCACCTCACCCACAAGTACCTCAACTTCTGCTTGTGAAATAGCGCTTCCTTGATCTGCGGTCATGATCGAAATCCTGCAACAAGCCGGCTTATGTATATGCATGAGATCCACAAGGCACTTTGCATTGACTATTTATGGCAGTAAGTGGGCGTGGTGAGGGCGGGATGTGACTAAAATGCAGCTGAGAACCTTTCTAGATAGCCTCTGATTTATGAAGCGAAGATTGCGTGCAGCTGGGCGTACTCCATGTTTGATAGATCACAAACCTGCTTGGCTTAAGTACATACTTTTGCTGAGCTTAAGTACATTTTTAGTAAGGATTCTACCAATGTTTGATAAATGGGACCCCTGAACTGTATTTGCTAATAGGTAAAAGAAAATAAATTTAAGAATCGTGCATTATAAAGGCAGGTTCTGAGAGTTTGTAAAAATAATCTAATCAATGATTAGTTATGAAAGCTGCTTGCCCAGAAGCTTCACAGGAAAACAACAAAATGTGTTTTTTTCGGCCAAAAATACAACATCTGAGTATGTTCAAGTGTCAAAGTAGGAGGTCAGGGTTACACGGGTTTCTCCTCAAAGACATGTGGTTTTCAACACTTTTTTCAATAAGCTGTGGCAACTGTGGGGAAAACTGAAGTTATTTTGCAAGTATTTGCAAGTACATTTAAAATAATATATCATCCTGTTGGTTTTACTTGTTTTGGAGAAAAACTTGCACACCATGCTAATTTCAATGTGACTTAAACTGTCCCAACAGACGTCCCATTGCATACATTATGAGAGCTGTCAAACAGCGTGCTAGTCATTTTTTTTTTAGCAATTGTCTAATAATTATTTAGATCTGTTTGTAATCCAACATGCCAAGTAAAATGTTCAAATCTATGATTGATTTTTAAAGCTAACTTTGCAGAACAATGCTGCCTCATTGGAAATATAAACTCTTTCTCAGCAGTATTAGAGGATTAGAGAAAGTACTTAAAACATATTTAGATTCACACTGCTGAATGTAATCTCACAATATCTTGAGTTAACTGAAGCCTAAAAATGTTTGGAAGTGCAGTAAATTGATTCATTTGAAGGTGCAAAGTGTAAGAATGAAGTAACAACTGTGGCCACATTTTGTTACCACAATCTAAGCAAAACGTCACTTTCTCACTACCCTTCCGTGAGTTTTATTGCTGTTGCCAGTTACGAGTCATGCACAGCAAGTTGATAATTAGATAAATACATTGTTAAATCTGGTGTTAGCACTCTTGGGTGTTTTATGGTAGGGAGCACTTACTACACATATTATGGTAATAAGTGTCCTGCGAGAGAGGAAGTGGTAGTTGTTTCTTGCTGTTATAGTTTTGAACGACTCATTAAACCAGTACTATTCGATTCCGGGTCTCAAGGGCTGGTACCCAGCATGTTTCAGTGCTTTCTCTGGTCCAACACACTTGATTCAGTGGCTGAATCGTCTGTGCAGCAGCTCATCAGGCTCTGCAGAAGCCTGTTAATCACCTACTAATTGAAATCAGGTATGTAGAAGCTGGGTTAAAACCTAAACATGCTGGATACCAGCCCTCAAGGCAATCTGAAGGTGGTGGCAATTACATCTCAGGAAAAGCCCTGCATTTAGGGAAGTAAAACGCCACCATTGACTCATTATCCACTTCACACATGCACTGTGATATTGAGTTGATGGTAATTGAAAAAGTAGCTTGAGATGTTTTTATAGCCAAATATTTGCTTCTAACTCCGTTAGCACTGTTAGCTCAAGGTGTCTATGACCTGCTTCACCCGATGTTAGAGTAAAACAAAAAGATGTCTTGACTTCTTCTGGGTCGCTCCTGTTTACTGGCTTTGGTTCTTTAAACAACTCTGAAGCCTGTCTGTGTCGAATTACTAATGCCGGTGCTGCAGCATTGGCTTAGTGCAGACTCGGCAACACCACAAACTCACTGATGTAAACAGTGACTATGTCACTTTTTTATTTAAAGAGCAAGTTGCAGCCAAATCTACTTTTTTTGCCAATACAAAATATAATTGAGTGTCTAATCGTGCTGTAGACACATGTAGTCAATAATTTGGCACTTTAGTGCATCTTAGCTAAAATTTAAATTTTCTGCCTAAAACTGTCAGTGTTATGCCATCTTCAGGTAAAATTTCTGCACTGCATTTGAATTTTAATCTGTCATCGCTGTTGGCTAAGAGGTACCCTATGGTGTTAGCTAGTACATTATGATGTCAGAATGTCGTGAGCCTGTGTGTGTGTGTGTTTGTTATTGACTCGGCCCTCTCAGTCTGCTAGGCAACAGCATTATTTGCATTTTTAAAGCAGGAAGTGGAGTAAGACTCTGGTGGGGGTGACTTGCTCTTTAAAGGGACTATAAGGAAGTTTGACAGCCAAAACATGTATAGAAATAATAAATGTCTTCTTCATACATTCTCCTGCAATGCCCTGGTCCTGTAGAATGAGCCCTGGCATTTTTACTGTGATTGCCTGTTTTTCTGTAAAATCACAGAAAAAGAGAGATGCTCGGGTCGAGCAGGCTGCTTCATGCGCGTTCACGCTCAGGCATCGCCCGTAGCATTTGCTATCCGTAGCTTTAGCAGCAGAGAGAGAGGCAGTGTTCCTAACACCTAGTGATGAACCTAGCTACTTTTCTAAAGACCCTTAGCTACTTTCTGTAGAACTTTCTTCTATATATTTCCAGCAAATTAGCAACAAAATAGCCATTTTTGCTCTGAACCGTTCTTTGGTTTGACGTTGTTTCAGCTGTCATCAAGGATATAAAAGTTACAGATACAAAAGGCATCTCTGGCACTTTAGCTCACTTAGTAAGGTGTCTGACTCTCACGTAGGAGACCTGGGTTCGATTACAGGTGTGAATAAAGTTTGTTATTTGGAGTTTATTTTTTACATTAATGATAATTTTTTACAGTATGAAGACAAATTTTTATTTGAGACTCGCCAAATGGCATTGAATTCACGGATAAAAAAGATGTGGGTTCAACTTTCATTTTGGAACAATTTTTCAAGCAAGGGAAGGGAATGATCTGAGCATGCAGGAGGACTGACCCATCATAAACCTTTGTCGGCTGTGCTGAAGAGAAAGGTACAGAACCACATTATTTAATTAATTAGCTGCGCGTTCTCCTGTCCTCTGTCCTCCGGGTCACACACACACACACACACACACACACACACACACACACACACACACTGCACGTTCGGCCGGCCGACGAGAAAGTGCAGCTGCAGAGACAGAGGGACATTATTTTTATTAATTTCCTGTGTTCTTCTGTCCTCTGGGCCACACACACACACACGGGACTGTCTCAGCTGTTATTTTCGTTAAGGAGTGTGCACGTACAGCATGCGCGCCTAGTGCACGAGCCTACTGTTGAAGCTGCCGTTACGCTTTTGGCCTGAGGGGGCAATCACGAGCATAAAAATTCAAAAGTCCGAAAAGTCCCTTTAAAGAAGAAAACTGACAACCCCTCAGGCGGCTGAGAATGAAACCTGTTTCAACGTAACCTTCCTTCCAACATGATTGAGACATTAGACTGTTTTGTGATTATTTCACTGTAGAAATTATACAAAAACCCCCTTTAATAATGTAAAACTGTAATAAGGTCAAACAGCTCCAGATAATATATTTCAGTCAAGTTTACTTTATAAATCTTTACACCACCATCTGTTTGTCACTGCACAGATATTACTGCAGGTAACGATGTTCATCTTCACTGTAAATATAAAATTTTAAATAAAGATTATTCTAAAATAAAACAAAAAACGGAGTGTATTTAACATAAAGTTAGCATGAACTACTGTTAAATTTGGGGCACATAAATTCTGCGAGACATAATCTCGATTTCTGTATACAGAGGCAGTTCAAGAAGGCGTACAAAAAAACGACTTAACAGAGGTGAAAAATTCTTTTAGGATTTGTTATGTCTTCAGGCATTACTCTGGCACTTCAGGATGAGAAAAGTTTTCTGGGTAAAGTTTAGTTGTTTCCTTATTTGTCTGCCTGTTCATCTAGTAAACAAGGTAATAACCCAACAGGTTTCAAACAAAGCTGCCTCTGTTTGCACCCCCGTCGGTAGCTGTTTATGTAACCATGTTTCAGGACCGAG